GTATTCGGTATGGATGGAAGATGTTGGTGGGCATATGCTCCCCCAACAGGTTCCCGTGTAATTTTTTATTTACTTAATAAATGGTGGAAGATAATTACCTCCTATCCCCAGAGCAAAATAAAAAGTGTTAAAGATTATTATTACACTCAAAATTTTATTATTTAATATATTTCATTAATTGTTACAAAGCATATCAGTTAATCGGTTTAGTTCAGTCTTTAATAAATTGAACAAAACTATTCCATTTGAGAAAAATCTTAGCTGAATAGTTTTTTCTTCTTACTAAAACTCTCTTTTTCTCAATTTTCTTTAACAGTCATTTGAATGACGAATTCTCCGTTTTGTGCCAAAACAAATACCAACTTCTTAATGAGTCATAAAATACACAAGCTTATGTTGACTCGACCAAGTTAGCTATAAAATTAGTCAACTTTAACAGCCTTTAAAAAAATTAACCACCATTTACTATAGCCGTTAAGTCTCAAAATAACGTCGTTTTGAGATTAAAAAAAAGGTCATTTTAATATCAAATTCTCCGTTTTGCGTCAAAACAAATACTAACTTTTTAATGAGTCATAAAAAATATAAAGTGATATTGAGTCAGTCAAATTATATATAATATTAGTCAACTTAAGACCGGAGCCTGGGTCCGGAGACATGGAGAGGCGAGACCCTCCGAGGTCGTAGCCTGAGTTCAGAGACTTGTTATGGCACAAGATCCATAGAGACCGTAGCCTGGGACTGGAGACCGGGAGGGCACGAGATCCCACACGGAGATTGCGATAACCTGAGTCCGGAGACCTAACGGGTAGCACAAGAACTCTCGTGAATGTTGCAATAACCTGAGTCCAGAGATTTGACGAGTTAGTATGAGAACTCTCGAGGAGGCCTATGGCCTAAGTCAAGCGACATGCCCATCAGAGATTGCTGATATGTCTTTCCTCTTTTTCTTTGTTGAAAATAAATAGATAATGGATTTGCTAGTCGCATATGAGGTGGCCAACACTTCGGGATCTCGTGATGCAACAAGTCTTTGGACTCAGGCTACGACCTCAGAAGGTCTCGGCTCTCAATGTCTCAATACCCGGGCTCCGACATAAAATTGACTAATATTATACTTAATTTGGCTGAGTCAACATAAATTTATATTTTTTATGACTCATTAAAAAGTTGGCATTTGTTTTGGCGCAAAACAGAGAGTTTGGTATTAAAATGACACATTTTTTACCCTCAAAACGACGTCATTTTGATACTTAACAGCTACAGTAAACGGTGGTTAGCGTTTATTAAAGAAATGTTAAAATTGACTAATTTTAAATGTAATTTGGCCGANTCAATATAAATTTGTATATTTTATATCGTATTAAGAAGTTAATATTTGTTTTAACGCAAAACAAAAAGTTCGTAATTAAAATGACCGTTTTCCATTTTTTTTACCAAAGATGTAACCGTCCAAACCTACTTGTCAAATTGTAGGAACCTGACCACCCAATCTTTAGTGGATAGTTTGTTATCAACTTCTGTTTGGATTCTCCCTAACTTACCCACCTTTGTCATTGTCAGAGATCAGATAAAACAAAAAACAAAAATAGAAGTGGAGATGCAGGGGATCGAACCCTGTGCCTCTCGCATGCAAAGCGAGCGCTCTACCATTTGAGCTACATCCCCTTGGATGCTCACTAATGTTTCACATGTTCTAAATTTTAAAAAGCAACCGATATAATGAGTTTCCCCTCTTATCTCCAGGTGAGCCGCCCGATAGTGGTGGGAGCGAAATCTCCGGTTGACCGTCGCCGGAGAGCACTGGAGAGAGTGAACAAAGAGCTCACCAGAGGCAATTACGAAACTGCTCTCTCTCTCGTCAAGCAACTCAAGGGAAAACATGGCTGCCTCTCTGCCTTCGGCTCTGCCAAACTGG